ACCACATTTTCTTGATCCATTCATCTACTGAGGGGCATCTGGGTTGGTTCCATATCTTAGCTATGATGAATAATGCTGCGATAAATATAGTTGTGGAAGAAAGACAGCCTCTTCAGTAAATGGTACTGGTAAAATTGGTTAAACACCAGTAGAAAATTATAATTAGATCCTTATATGTCACCCTGCACTAGAATCAACTCCAAATGGATCAAAGACCTTGAAGTAACAGCAGACAGCCTGAAAACATTACAGGAAGTAATGGGAGAAACTCTAGGGCTCCTTGGCATAGGCTGAAATGTTGTTAATAAAGACCCAGAAACACAACAAATTAAAGAAAGTTTGGACAAATGGGATTGCATGAAGTTGCAGAGTTTCTGTATGACAAAGGACATAACTAGTAAGATCAATAGAAAGCCCACAGATTGGGAGAAGATCTTCACTAGCCATACAACAGACGAGGGTCTCATATCTAAAATATACTTAGAACCCAAAAAATTAAATCCCCCAACAACAAATCCTCAAAGAAACAACCACCCCATTAATAAGTGGGCTAAAGACTTAAAGAGAGACTTCTCTGAATAAGAAATAAGAATGGCCAACAGACACATGAAGAAATGCTCAACTTCTCTGTCCGTAAAAGAAATGCAAATCAAAACAACATTGAGATGCCTCTTCACCCCAGTTAGAATAGCTATAATCAAGAACTCTAATAACAGATGCTGGAGGAGCTATGGCCAAAGGGAACACTGTTGATGGGAGTATAAACTTGTTCAACCATTCTGGAAAGAAGTATGGAGGTTCCTCAGAAGATTCCATATAGAGCTCCCCTATGACCCAGCAATCCCACCTCCGGGCATGTGCCCAAATGATTGCTTTATTGTCATTACAGAGGTGATATACAGAGGGGTTACAATTACATGAGTGAATCAATGTGTACATTTCCTTTCATGCAATGTCTTCTGTGTCCTCATTCTCTCCCAGTTCCTCCCTCATCCACAAGTTTTATAGTTCACCTTTCATTAATTTCTGGTGAGCTCCACTGTTGCATTTTTTCACCCTTTGTCTCCTAAGTTCTTTACCTCATCCACACTCTCCCAAAGATGTACACTAATATACCATACATAAGGTAAAGAAGACAAAATCATCAAAAACTGAAACTACAATATGAGAAATAAAGCAAAAAATAAGACCTCTTGTTTATTTCAGTAAGTATATTATTCTGTAATAGACATTGGAGTTTGTCTCAGTGTGTATATTTTTTATATAAATATGAAGAGGCATGTAGGCCTTGTGCCTTCATGCTTCTCTCATTAGAATATCCTCTTTTGGTCTTGCTGTGTGTATCTAGAATCCTGCATAATTTATCATATCGCTATGCATTTTATATTTAATTTCCCCATATTAGAGAGAACATGCACCATCTCTCTGATCTTGGCTTATCTCATTTGTTACCTGATTTGTTCTAGCTCCATCCATTTCCCTGAAAATGACATTATTTTATTATTTCTAATGGATGCAGGAAATTTTGTTGTGTATAGGTACCAGTTTTTTGAATCTACTTGTCTATTACAGGGCCGCTGGGCTGTTCCTGTATCTTGGCAATTGTGAATAGTGCAAATTTTAACAGGAAACCACTATGATTATTAAATGAAGATTTAATGTATAGAAATCTATTCTGTGTCGGGGATGGGAAGGTGGCTCAGTGGCAGAGCGCTTGCCTTGCAAGCCTGAGGCCCTGGGTTCAATTCCTCAGCACCATATAAGCAAAAAGAAAAAAGCTGGAAGTGGCGCTATGGCTCAAGTGGTAGAGTGCTAGCCTTGAGCTGAAGAGCTGAGGGACAGTGCCCAGGCCCAGAGTTCAGGCCACACGACCGGACCAAAAAAAAAAAAGAAATCTATTCTGTGGCAATAAAGTTCAGTGAATTCCTTATACAAAGATTTTTTCTCTTATACATATATGGGCATTAAACAAGAAACCATATATTACTAAGGGACATTGTATGTGCAATCCATTCATTTGAACATTTCCATAAATATCTTCACAAAGCCAATGATAAGCACTTGAATTTTAAACTGAAGTAACTATGAATCTAAAAATCTATTTAAAATGTTAAGTATATTTCTATTTGCACATATTGTTTCATTATGATATTTACATATAGTCATATAATGAACTTTTTATTCACACTCTTACTATTAATTTTCATCATACATATTGCAGAAGATAGTTAAAATAGAAGTATTATCACTTACATATTTAAATTATTTGATTTTTCTCTTAGAAACCATGACTGTGTAAATAAAGAAACAGTACATATAGAATTTTCTGTCAATCTTTGTATCAGCTACAGAGATGGAGAAGGAGCAAGTATCTCTTAGATCTCCGATCGAAATTTCAATGTGGACTCTCCCATTTTCTTTTCATAATTTTCTTCAAATCTCTCATACTGAGCCACAGTGAACTGATTTTTCCAGTCTCCTGAAATGCCTGAAAAGAAAACATGAAGTTAGAAACTTGAGAATACTATAAAATTTTCCCTTCAGATGTGGTGTGTGTGTGTGTGTGTGTGTTACTGAGTGTTGGAATTTAGGGCCTTGGGCATCAAGGTCTCAATTATCACCTTGGATAAATCCCAGTCCTTTGGATTATTTGTTTTGCACTTTGATTAGTATTAGCCATACAATGGAGTTTCTGACTTTTTTATAATGCACACAAAGTACCCCAATTAAACTTTGCTCCTCTTCACTCTGGTCTTCACCCTTCTTAAAACAATTTCAACAGGCTATGTTTTTGTAGTTTTCCATATGCATAGAAAATACTTTGACTATGTTCACCTCATGAACCCTCTCTATTTGCCATCCCCCATGTACTGATATTAACCTGGACCAGTACTTACTATATCTTTGAATTAATTAAAATTTAATTAAGGGATTGCAATACAATATGTGAGTTGAGCCTAGTGAATCTGATCCATGCCACTCCTTTCACCATGCTCTCTTACCTCGTAGCCCCTCAGTTTGCTTAGTAACATGTTCACAAGTGTACATTGATTATTAGGACTGCATTTGCACATACCCTTCTCTTCTTCCTCCCCTTAATATCACACCCTTCCCTACAACACACATTCTAGCTTCCTGGTATTCATTTGGTTAAACTGTAAGTTAGTTGTTCAAAGGTCTGGCATACACCATTGGAATTTGTATTCATAAACCTATATGGATATAACCATGTATGTATTTTCATATATGTTTATAATTTTCATATCTAACTTCCACATATGAGGGAAAACATGTATTCTTTGTGTCCTGACTTACTTTACTTACTACAATTATTTCCAGCATCATGCATATCCCTGCAAAGGATTCTTCCAGATTAATAAAATTTTGCCATATGAGATAATGGAACATATATTTATGTGAATATATATATATATATCACAATTTATTTATCAGTGTAATACAGTACATTAAAAGGACCAAGAATAAGAATCTCATGATCGCCTCAATAGACGTCAAAAAGCTTTTGACAAAATCCAATATTCTGTTTTATTTTTGAGACAGGATCTTGCTCAATTTGGTCAGACCAGTCAAACTCAAAATTCTCTTGTTCTCACTCACAATTAATTGGGTTGGCAAGTTTGAGCCATACCTAGCTTCTAATACCATTTTTAATGTGAATTCCTATACTTTTATCTTTAATTTTTAATTTTAGGACCTGTACCTTATCTCTAACAATCACCCTTACTGTACCACTCGTAGACTCTTGTAACATTTTGTGTTTCAATAGTTCCCATAGATTTTACCACTGAGCTGTGTAAAGAACAGTAAGCCCCTAAATAACAACCAAAAAAAAGTTACCCTGGAGGGCAACTCCACCATCTCCAAATCTCAATTCTTTGCCTGCAAGACCTTTGTTAGCGAGGATACAGAGACATTTTTAGTCATTTTAACACTCTAATCTTGACCAGGCACTGATGGCTCATGTCTGTAATCCTAGCTACTCAGGAGGCTGAGATCTGAGGATCGCGGTTCAAAGCCAGCCTGGGCAGAAAAATCTCCACAAGACTCTTATCTCCAATTAACCACTTAAAAACTGGAAGTGGCGCTGTGTTTCCAAGTGGTAGAGTGTTAGCCTTGAGCAAAAACAGCTCAGAGACAGTGCCTAGACCTTGAGGTCAAGCCTCATGACTGACAAAAAGCAAACAAACAAACAAACAAACAAAAAAGCCTATACTCTCCAATGTCAAATGATAACTTTCAAAAAATAGTTCTAATAACAAAATTGTAAAATTAGTAGAATAAATATAATTAAACATATCTGAATCTCAAACTATTAATCATACCAGAAAATTTAAGAATAGTACTAGACATTACATTTACAATGAATATCTGGTTTAAAAGTACTATTTCCTTAAAAATCTGGGTTTCAGAAAACCCAGGTTTTGGAAACCCATGTAGAAAACATTCAAAATAATTATAAGCAACTTTTGGTAATTTGAGTATCTGTCTCTCTAGAATCACCTCATCATTAAAAATACTTGCAGAAAATGTGCTGAAAATATGTTTTTTTCCCCCTTGTCACGATTCCCTAAACAATACAGCAGCCTTTAAATTACCTTGTTATTATTAGTCATTCGGAAATGATTGGAAATATACAGGAAGATGCAGATGGGTCATGAATTACAAAGTCGTTTTCTGTAAGACAGTTGCCTATGTGAGCATTCAGGATCCCAAGGAGTCAGTCCCTACAGCCAATCCCCCAGGGATATGAAGACATGACTGTATGTCAGTCTGACCTAGGGTTTCTCAACTTTCCCATTTTATTTTCTTATATTTCCTCTTTTGACATTTAAATCTAAACAATTCTTTGGGGGAAAGGGAGCCCTGTCTTGTGCATTATAGGACATTCATGAGGGATTTTAGCATTTACTTTTAAGGTGTCTTCTAATAAGTCTAGTTGTGACTACAGCAATGTCTCCAGGTGAATCCCTTGGAAGTAAAATAAAATAAAATAAAGATCCCATGTAGTTGAGATGCAGAAACTCTCAGCCACACTTATTCATATATTTCATAAATTTCTGGTTGTAAAGACCTAGAATCCATTATGATTATATTCATTATAATTAAAATTAGCATTAACAGTTTTTATAGCCTATCATAAAACAACTTTCAGTCCTTCCTTGACTATTAAGCTTGTTCATTTCTGTTCATCACACATTATGTAATACCTCTTTTCCCATTAACTTTAGACTTTGGTTTTTATCTGCTTTGGTCAATGAAATTGGACTCTTTGAGGTGTACACCTCAACAACAAGTTTCTACCAGTTCTTTTCATCTTCCAGTTTATAATAGGCATAACACACTTATGACCATCTGTTTTGTCCTCAGGGTCAAAAAGAGAACAAAAATAAAGCCAAACAAAAGTGTATAGCCTTCATAGACATATAAGTTAAATAAAAAATAAATGTGATTAAATCAGACCTCGTTTCTTGGAGCTTGCTTTTATTTTATACCAAAGCCTACTCACACAAAGCAATGTATGTGATAAAGATCTGCTTTGTGCAAGATGTAATATATGGAGTTCAATAATCTGAGGTAATCATTTATAGAAATTATAGTAACAGTTATGTTAATCTAGCATAATTAAAACTAACTTCTTAGTGCAATAAAAATTAAAGGAAAATCAACCATATCCAGACAATACAGACAAATATGGCATTCTTCTGACAGAGTAATAGTGTGTACCAAGACTTGCGTTATATCCTTATATGATAGATATGCAGCATAAATAAAATGTTGTTTATTTCCCCTGGGATTTCTTTTCTTTCTACTTATCTGTCTCCAGATTACTAAGATGGCTCTGATATCTTATATATACTCTCCACAGCATAATTAGCACACTACAGAAACTAAAGTCTTATATCCTCACCCTTTCTCATGAAGGGAGACACAGAATGGTCCATCTCCTCTTTGTTCATACTGGTATAATTTGCATTCGGGTTCTGTTTCATTACATTGAAAGAACTATGGTAGATGATTTTATTCACAGTTTCTTCTGGCAGGTCTTTCTCTAGAAATGTTAATATTTTCTGAATTTCTCCCTTTGGATCCTAAAATAGTTAAGGAAAAAGAATCATTTCTGATAGATTTGGTTGTAATTTAATAGTTTCTATTCATTCCATTGTAATGGAGGAGAGAATTTTTTATTTTAATGATATTTTCAGATTTGCTTTTCCTAAATATGTTTCATTTGCTTAATTATGACAGAAAATGACATGCTAGATTGAAGGTTAGATGCTAAATTAAACCTCATAAGATGAGAGAAATCAAGTTAAATAATCTCAAATTTTGTTAACTATTTTAATGATTTATATTTCATATCAAGAATGAAACCACTGAAATATTGGGAAACGAGAGGAGAAATACATTGGCTTCAGAGTGAGAACTTTCTCTGAGTATATCATAAAAACAAAATGAGAGAGTTCACATAAATCTGACAGATACTTGGTCTGCAGTGGAAATGGCAGTAATGACAGAAAAAAAGTAAATGGGTAAAAGATCTATGCTTAAGGTTCAGTGAGTAAGGTAGTAGATTAGTAAAATTAATAAACCAATAAAGCTAGACAGAAAAGAAAATTAATCTTAAATTTCTTTCAAATCTTAAAAAGAAATTACAGTTGCTCTTACCTCTTTCATGTCTTCATAAAATAGATAAAGGATACGATAATCTCTCTTTTTCTCCCACCAGCCTTTCACATGGTCATACCAAGAACCAAAACTCACTAAATTTAAAAGGAAATGTTTGTAAAATTACAACTGCTTACATTAACTCAAAAACTGTAAAATGCCATTCTGTTCCACCAGTATCAGTAAATATTCATTGAGTAAATATTAGAGAAAGAGACAATAGGCGAAGTATATAAAATAACATTACTCATTGAATTTGTAATCTACTAGGAAAGGAAAAAAATACTTGTTGTACTTGGATTTTCTTCTATTCAAATTCATATATATGGAAGTGCCGACCCTAGGACCTCAAAATGTGACTATATTTAGAGAAAGGAAGGGTCTTTACAAGCAACCTTATATTAAGTCTTGAAATGGGGCCTCATTCCATATGTGTAGTACTCCGATAAGAAATGGGGAATAAAGCATAGTCACAAAACAAGGACCGATCATGGAAAGTCACAGGGCAAAAATGGCAATTTACTAGCCAAGGACAAACATTTTAGAAGAAATCAACCCAGATAACATTTCTGAACTTTAAGTCTCTGTAGTATGAAACATAATTTTTATTGTATAAGCCACTCATACTGATACTTTATTTTGCGAATTCCAGGAAAACAGATATAACTTCTAATAACTAAAATTACAAATGTACGGTAGCAAAAAGTACATAATTTAAACAATAAGTGGTATGTAAGTTCATAGGAGAGAGAAAAGGGAAAGAAAAAAATCTATGAACGACAAATTTAAAAAAAGGTCTGTGGAGAAATTAGAGAGTATTTGATTCTAATAGTTTGGACTTGAGTCATGACATTAACAAAGATGAAATTCTAGGGACAACGAAGATCCAATGTCAGGTGTAGATCTGTATAATGTATCATTGAAATGCACTTGTCTCAACAAGAATGTACAAAAGAGGATGTTTATTTATAAATTATTAATAAATTTACTATCATGGGTATGAATGAGTTTTCTGGGGAAAAAACCCACAAAGGATCAGTAGAAGCACAGTATCTTAAGAAAAAATTTTCATGTAAGAATGTTCAGAGTTCATAGGTTAAGAAAAGAAAGAAACACTAAAAAAATGAGACTCCAAGATTGAGGTATAAAATCAACACAGTATGACAGTATGGACAAGAGAGATGAATGTGATTAAATATACCAAAAGTATCTATGAATCACTAATAAGACTATGAAACCAAAGGACTAAGAAATCTATGTGCCATGAATTCTCCAAAACTCTTTGAAGAAAGGTATGTTTCCTCTATAGCCTTTATGATGCATTAGCAGAGGGCACAAAAGGTTTATGATAAGCACAGTATTAATCTTTAAAATTTGTAGTTTCTTTGAAGAAAGTCTACTCAGCATAATTCCATAATCAAATAAATGGCACCCACCTTTCCCTGCCATGAATTTATCCAAGAACTCCTCCCAGGTTCCGGGCTCTGGATGTATTTTGGCCATCTGGTAAAAGTAATAGTAAGATACAGCCACATCTTTGGCATTCCGTGCCATGTAAATCATCTGTAGAGTAATAGAGGAAATTAGAATCTTCCTTTGTTTTAGTAGTTTTTAAAATTTGCTTACATTGTCATTATTTTCTGTTTTTTTAAATTTCCTGATCTTGATACAAATAACAATGACCTCGTGTAGTAGATCTACACCTGTCTTTTGTTTTTTGTTGGTATTTATTTTTCTTGGTGTGAATGGGGTTTAACTGTATTGTTTTTTGTTTTGTCTTTTGGGTACTGGGAATCAAACCCAGGACATTGCACTGGCTAGGCAAACACTTTGCCACTGAGCTACATCCCAGTGCTGTGTCTTGTTTGAATACAAAAACTCACTTCCCATCTTACATGCTCTCTCCTCGATTTCTTTTTGGCTTTTATAAAAACATCTCTTCAGACATTGAATGCCAAGTAAAACAAAAACTATAGTAAATATTAAATCAACAAAGTAGCTACTATGTCCTAAATTTAAAATACATGTCATTAACATAAATTAATAAAGAGGTAAACTTTATTTAAAAACACCTCTACCTATATTTTTATTGCAAAATATTACTAGGTAAATTCAGAACCAGAAAAAATTTAAAAATTCCTATGATCATAATGATGGCTATTTTATATCTGGTATGAGTTTAAAATTTTTCTTATGTCTGAAGCTTTAACGTCTACTTGAAGACAGAAATTTTACAGATGGAAATGACTTTGTCATATATCTTGTAAATCTGATTCTCAGACAAAAATCAACTGAAATTCACAAAATTTCCTTCACTAAGGAAGCACATTAATATTGTATACTGTGAATATATTTCTAAGGGAAAATCCATACAGGAAGAAACCTTCTTTCATCTAAGAACAAACAAATGTTTCTTCTCTCCCAAATATTAGGCAAATGAAATTGAGCATTGATATTTCCAAGTCACGGATGGTAGTTTTCAAATTCTGGGACAAGGAAAGGAGTAGTGATGGAGTAACTGAAAGAAAATTTGAAAATGACATAGTAGAGTTCTAATAGTTCAGAGTCTGTTGCTCATGTGACTTCTTGAGAAAAACAAACCCCAGCAACACTGCTGGTTACTGCTTATTTCAGTATCAATAGATGATGGCAATGAACCAATTGTTTTCAATTTCTATCACCATCACCTACACCTTCTTTACTGAGATCTGTTTTGGCTTGCCAAAGAAGGACATAGAAGGAAGGACATCCTGAGTGTCTCCCTAGTTCTCTGGTACTAGAGAGATAAAACAATGCCTTAGGTTTCTGCACTCTTCTTCCATAAATTAAAATTGAAAGATATGAGTGGGATTGAGACCTTGCATAGGTCTCAATATAGCTACTTTTGTTACCATTTTGTGTCACACAAGGTAAAGTGGAAATAGCTCTCACAAATATTACAATGAGTCAAAATGAGTAATGAAGAGTAGTATACTTTATACAAGGAAAATAGGCACAATATCTACGGTAAAAATATGCAAGATGATTATATTTGAAGATAAAGGTTTCTGATTAGAAGTGCAGCGCTGAGCTTTGGGAATTCAACAATATCCTGTTGAATCTGGCTACCAATTTTTGTGGGCATGGTCACTTTATTAAAATCCATCAAGACATATGCTTAGGATCTATGTACTTTTCTCCTCAAATGCTTAAATGAAAATATTTCTTAAAATAAAAGTCTAGCCATCCACTGGTGACTCATGTCTATAATCCTAACTACGCAGAAAGATGAGATCTGAGGATTATGGTTCCAAATCAGCCCTTGCAAAATAGAGAAAATTCATTCCCAAAATAACCAACTAAAAGCTTGGCTGGAGGTGTGGCTCAAGCGGTAATGCAATCCTAAGCACAGAAAAAAAGCTGAGTTAAGAGCCTGAAGCTTTGGGTCCTAGCTCTGGTATTGGCACAAGAGAGAAAGAGAAAGTGAGCCTATAATGAATTTAGGAAAAATATCTATAAATTACATTGAATTAATGTTTAATAATTTAAGTATTTAGATGTGCAGATAATGAATTTACTGATTTTTATTTATATGCAAATGATATTAATAGATTCATCTTTCAAGTTATACATAATTGACTATGTTATATTGAAATTATTCTGACACATGAAAAATCAATTTGGATATTATTTGCATATCAATTCTTTTAAAGGAGTTGCACTATAGGTAAAAAAATTTAGAAGGCCAGAAAATGTGATCATTTCTCAATACTTGAGTATGAAGTATAATCTCAACATTGCTGGTGTTCATTGTTTTATTTTGATCCTTGAGATATGGTGGTCACATTATTGCTTTTTATTTATCCAAGGGTTATAATCTCTCTTCTTTTGTTTCTGCATAATTTGTTTTTAAGAAAGAAATTCAACATAAAGAAAGAGGATTTTTATTTTGTTAAAATTCGCTACCTTACAATCATTCTTCCAAAATGAAGAAGGGAGAAGTTCAACAGGAAGATGTGTTTTCACTAATCGAGGAGACTGCATATTATTCAACTGTTCAACGCCTAGATACACATAGTCAACAAAAGAAATAGATTGAAGCCCAGTTATTTACAACATTAACCCAAAACTTTATACTCGTTAATCCAGCTTCTAGTCTAATGTAGGCATATGATTCTATAGTTGTACAGTTTCAACTATTCCTGATATCACCAATGAGATAAAAAATTAGGAATCTTGGGGCTGGGAAGGTAGCTCAGCGGTAGAGTGCATGCCTTGCAAGCATGAGGCCCTGGGTTCGATTACTCAGCACCACATAAACAGAAAAAGCTGGAAGTGGTGCTGTGGCTCCAGTGGTAGAGCGCTAGCCATGAGCTGAAGAGCTAAGGGACAGCGCCCAGGTCCAGAGTTCAGGCCTCATGGCCGGCAAAAAAAAAAAAAAAATTAGGAATCTTCAGTATTCTCCTATGAATAGAATGTTTGATCTCCTATGACTAGAATGGGTAATTATCTTCATAGGCATTTATAAAGCCAAGTTTTTCATTTTAATAGGAAAATATTGAGCTATTATATTTTAAAATTTCTTTTGAGATCTCTCATATTAAAGTTCTGTAATCCAATTATATCATAAAGCTTATGGTCATTAAAAATTTTTTAATATAGCATCCTATATTCCCATAATCTTCCCTTGAGTTTGTAAATACCAGCTAATTGGTATTTGACTCTTTGGCTCTTTGACTCTTCTAAATTGTCTGTATGTAATAATGATGCATTACTCCAATCCAATATTTCTATATAATAAGGAAATTATTCCATGACATAATCTTTTCTCAAACAGATATTGTCTTTGGGTAGAGAAAGGAATGTTATACATTAATGGCAGAGCCAAATTCTGACTCTGTTCTTACAGACACGCATGATCCAAACTAGCCAATCCTTTCTTGTACCATTCTCATCATGACTTCTTACAGAAGACAGGCAGATTTACTCCTATATAGAAAAGCACTTTAAGACTAAATACCATTTGTTACTCCAGGGATTATGAGTTCCATGAATGGCACTCTCTTATAGATCACATCTCGTTTACATTTCTCTGTATCCCCATTGTTATAGATCAGATCCACGATTTCACTGGTCCAGGTTGTTCCTGCAGACAAACATAAAACAAGAACTAAATCTTCCTTTGAAAAGAGGGTGAGAGGGCCAACAGTAGAGGATTTGTGTGTTATCTGAAATAAAAATGGGTCCTTTATTTCCTTCCCCTTTCTCCATAAATATCTCTATCTTTTCTGAGTAATATTAATAAATCCATTACTAGACATTGAAAAGAACTTTAAATCAAAATGTGCAACATGTAGTGGAACATGTGCAAAAGGGAAAGAGACCTTCGAGGCTTCACATGGAATGGGCAGTGACTAACACCATAGTGCAGGCAATAGATTCTGAACCTGATTCACTCTGATCTTTATGACACTGGATCTCACAGTTCTTTGAGATATAGATCTAAAGCATAGGAGTCACTGTTTGCTTGTCTGAGTTAAAACTTCCAGGTTACCAAGACATTGCTAAAGGTAATTATATATATATATATATATATATATATATATGGAAATCATCTTCTTAGCATTCTTGCTGGTTTTCTCTTTAGCAAAGGTGTTCACCTGTCCCCAAACTGAATAATCATGAGTGTTAACTAAAAATGTAAAAGTAATTAATCACTTAATTAATCCATTCCTACATTTTTAAGAAAGATAAACATATGTATGCACCTCTAGCACTAAAGTACCTGAGCTCTACTTTTGTGTCCTTTCTTGTGGCCAGTATTTTCCTTCTTGGTCCTAGATCTAAATCATCTTCCTAACTTTTCTAGATAACTGTAATACTAAGTACAAAGACAAAGGAGAGCTCTGTCATTCTTTCTGATGGAGGCATAGAATTCCATTGTGTATATATACCACATTCTCTTGATCCATTCATCTACTGAGGGGCTTCTGGGTTGGTTCCATATCTTAGCTATGGTAAATAATGCTGCAATAAACATACTAGTGCTGGTAGCTTTAGAATGGTCTTGTTTGTCACCATTTGGGTAAATGCCCAAAAGTGGGATTGCTGGGTCATAGGGGAGCTCTATATGGAGTCTTTTGAGGAACCTCCATACTGCTTTCCAAAGTGGTTGAACATGTTTACACACCCACCAACAATGCAGTAGGGTTCCCTTCTGGCCACATCACCTCCAGCATCTGTTGTTATTAGAGTTCTTGGTTATAGCCATTCTAACTGGGGTGAGGTGGTATCTCAATGTTGTTTTGATTTGCATTTCTTTTATGGCTAGAGAGGTTGAGCATTTCTTCATGTGTCTATTAGCCATCCTTCTTTCTTCTTCAGAGAAGTTTCTCTTTAAGTCTTTAGCCCACTTATTTATTGGGCTGTTGTTTCTTTGAGGATTTGTTGTTGGGGGAATTCTATGCCTCCATCAGAAAGAATGGCATTGCCCCATTTGTTAGGAAATAGAAAGTCTTGGAAAAAAATTTTTAAGTGAAGTAAGGCAGGCCCAAAGAAACATAGGTCCCATGGTTTCCCTTATTTGCAATAACTAGTATATGTCTGAGTCAAGCAGAAAAGGTCAGATAAGTTGATATTAGGTGAAATGAACCCCAAGATAAGTATTTAAATGTTTTTGCTTTCATGCAATTGTTTCTAACATATTTATAAGATGATTTCTTTGTTGCTTTGTATGTCCCTCCAGCACAGTATAACCCCTGTTTTCAATATTGATGTTGGTATAGTTTGTGGCGGGGAAGGGAAAAAGCAAATTGTTTACATAGGGATACATCCCATTGTAACAATGAGATGTATAAGTTGTTATGTTGAAAAATGAACTTTTCAACTTTGGCTGGGGGGTAGGCAAAGGAGGAGGCAACAATGCTTGATAAGGAATATACTCATTATCTTGCTCATGTAATTGTAACCCCTCTGTATGATATTTTCACAATAAAAAAAAGAAAGAAAGAAAAGAAAAAGGAAAGAAAAAGGAAAGCTCAATCAATCCTGGATTTTTTTGCTTTCTTATCTCATTTAAGCTTGAGAGAGACACACAGAGAGACTCCAGAGTATAATGTAAAACATTTTTTTATCAATGAGAAGCCCAAATTATGGTCTATGAAATTTTTCATTAAGAGAAATGCCAATTTAGCTATTTTTAATCCCTGTATTGAAAAAGTTGGTTTTCTATCATCTTTGAAAAATAAAAGAGGCACATTATTTACTTCAAGGAAAGATCTTATACCAAGGCATTGATATAGTAATGAATGTAATCAACAGCTTGTGAGGAGAGCAACATTAAGAAAACCTACCAAAGCACTGCCTATAACCACATACTATGTATAGCCATATATCTTTCACTATTCTAGAAAAAAATTCCTTTCAAAAAGTTATCTTTGTGATAAACTGTGTTGTAAAACAAGTTTATGCTTCAAATATCTTAGCAGTTTGCTGCTTTTAAGTAGATCTTCTGTATCTCCAAATAGCAAAGTCAAAACAACATATACTTTTCAGCTGCTGTCTTCAGGCCTTTGTAATAATTTTGCTCGTTGTGATAAAAAGAAAGGCCACTGGTCCAAAAGGTCTGTGACAGGATTATAAGGAAAACATTTGTGCTTAATAATTAACTTATAATGAACTCAGATAAATTAAGTGGATGGTTGAAAGAGATTCTAATATCCCTGCCATCTCATCAATCAGTAGGTGCATCAGAAGGCTTTATTATGAAATATCTAAAGAATTAAAATTATGACTTCATATTGAATCCCTTTAAATTCTCCTTTTAATTTGCTGAAAAATGTTTTTCTTGTTTGTTTTTGTTTTTGTTTTTTGGGGTCCGGTCATAGGGCCTGAACTCTGGGCCTGGGCACTGTCCCTCAGCTCTTCAGCTCAAGGCTAGCGCTCTACCACTTGAGCCACAGCACCACCTCCGGCGTTTTTCTTTTTTGCTTATGTGGTGCTGAGGAATCAAACCCAGGGCCTCATGCATGCAAGGCAAGCGCTCTACCACTGAGCCACCTTCTCAGCCCCATGTTTGGTTTTTATAAGCAAAATAAATGACCCTTGCTCTGAGTACTGGTGCACACCTATAATCCCAGCAGTTGAGAGGCTGCAGAAGGAGTATTACAAGTTCCAAGACAGTTTCATCTACATAGTAAGACTAACAACCTAAAAGTCTCCTTGTGCCCAAATCACATAAATGTATTTAATTTTAACAACTTGATTTGAATTTTAATTCAAAATAAGCAATAGCATTAGTTTTTCTCTAAGATGTGTTCTCTATTTAGTTGATATCATTTCAGAATAAAAAGTGAATGTGTTCAAATTAAGATGGAAGTGTCCCCACAAAATATCACAGTGCTCCTCTGCCAAATATTTAAAGAATTCAGGGTAGACCTGATGATGAATATGCAAATCGAGGGCTAATGTGCATGGATCATTATGTAATTGTCTAGTACAAATGATTGAAATGTCTTACCTGATTTAGGATAGGTGGAGATCAGAAGGTCATCGGGTCGGGCCTCAAATGTTTCCACTTGAGACCACTGCTCAGCAGTGCTCCAAAAAAGGGGGATCCCCTGAACATCCACTAACTCTCTCCTGAACACACCCTGGTGGTTATCCATTTCTGACCACCTAAATTTTAAATCACATGTAGCATCAGTCACATTAAAATATGTTGATATTTTTATAGAATTATCATTACTCTCAATTCAGAAGCATCAAATAAAAGCATCTATTGTACAAGTTCATGGGAGAAAAGAAAATAACAACACCAGTGAGAACTTACAATTATTTTCATACATGCCATTACTGATAAGTTGTATAACATTTGTAGATATCATTTGTGTACTGATGGCATTTGCTTAGGCAAAAAGATTTTTGAAGATACTAAACTTGAATGTCAGAAGGGAAATATCAAGGGCAGTGTTGACAATTCTTGCAGAGAAAATGTAAGTTTCATAACTGCCCAGGCTTTGTTAAAGAAACAAAACTGTTTAAATTAGAAATTTCTTCCTTTAAATTATAGGATGAACTGGTAAATCATTCTATCCAAATTCATGGAGGACAATCCACACAAGTGAGAAAAAAATGTACTTATGGGGTGGAGACAAGAGCAAATGCAGAACTAAAGAACTGAAATAAGCTTGAGGTATTGGTATCTTGTTCTAACAAGTTTTTTAAGCACTAATTTGTGAGTATCTGATGTCATCTTATGTTTTTAATGAGACTACACATAAAGGAAGTTTGCCTTTCAATTACATAAAAATTTTAAAAAAAGGGGGGGGGCTGGAAAGGTGGCTCAGTGGTAGCATGCTTGCCTTGCATGCATGAGGCTCTGGGTTCGATTCCTCAGCACCACATAAGCAGAAAAAGCTGCAAGTGGGGCTGAGGCTCAAGTGATAAAGCACTAGCCCTGGCCTGAAGAGCTGAGAGACAGCACCCTGGCCCAGAGTTCAAGCCTCATGACCAACCAAAAAAATAATAATAATTAAAGTCAGAACAATTCTTTTTGAACCATGTCCCTTTTAATTACTTGCAATTAGTTACAATTAATAGTAAATTATAATTATAACTCTACCCCTCTGTGTATCAACTTACCGTAGCAATAAAAATTCGGATCCAGCAGATATGCAGGTGGACTCCACTCTTCCAAGTTCTGTATTAACAGTCTTAAACACCTATGCATTGAAAATGTGTACAGACTATTTTATCATAATTCCCTAATGTTAGAGTATCACAACTATCTACACAGAATTTACATTGTAATAAGTAATCTAGAGATGATTTAAGGTTTACGGAAGACTATGTGTACATTATGGACAAATACTAGGCTTTTATATAACTAACTTGAACATAAGGGACTTTGGACTCTTCTCAGAGTTCTGCAACCAATCCCCTGTGGACATTGACATACTTTCACCTATACCATTTTAAACTGCAATTTCTTTTCTTCCTGTGTTTTCAGGTTTTTTCCACGTACATTGCGACCCTACATTATTACATTACCTTACAATCTTACCCTTCATTACTCAAACTACATAAATGGAATTTATTCTTCAGGATGGGCATTTCATAATATACAACATTGTCATGCACTGATTAACCAAAAGGTTAGTTCTGTAAGACGTGTTGTTAGTTAGCCTAGCCACTGTGCAAACATTGCACTGACACAAAGTACAAGGGCTGTGATGCAAAATGTAACCTCTGTATTACTAACAGAAATATCCCTCTTCAACACGTAACTGTATTTAGCAGGCTGGTACAAAAACTCAGGCTGCTTTACCCCAAATCAACCTCAATATTTTTTGTTTAGTACTACACCAGTACGTTAAAAAAATCTACCATAATAAATATAAAACATCTTTGAGTATTAGTGCAACACAATATATAGAAGAAGCCCTACATTTACCCAAATGATCACAAACAAAACCATACTAAAGCTACCAGCACAACTCTGTTTATTGCAGCATTATTTACCATAGCTAAGATATGGAACCAACCCAGATGCCCCTCAGTAGATGAATGGATCAAAAAAATGTGGTATATATACACAATGGAATTCCATGCCTCCATCAGAAAGAATGACATTGCCCCATTTGTTAGGAAATGGAAAGACTTGGAAAAAATTATATTAAGTGAAGTAAGGCAGGCCCAAAGAAACATAGGTCCTATGGTTTCCCTTATTTGCAATAACTAGTATATGTCTGAGACAAACAGAAACTGTCAGACAGGTGGATGTTAGGTGAAATGAACCCCAAGATAAGGGTTCAAATGTTTTTTTTTTCTTTCTTGTGATTGTTTCCAACATATTTATAAGATTGTTTCTTTGTTGTTTTGTATGTCCCTCCCCCAGGGTATAAGTTCTGCTTTCACTGTATTTGATGTTGGTATACTTTGTGGAAGGAAAGGAAATAAACAAATCCTTTAAATAGGGATACAGGTGGACCCATTGCAGCAATGAGATGTACAAGACATTATGTCGACAAACGAACTTTACAACTTTGGCAGAGGTGGGGCGTGGGGGGGACGGTGCAGGGGGTGGGGGTGGAGGGGAAATGGGAAGGGATGGGAAGGGAAAGCAAAGTAGAAGGCAACAATGCTTGATAAGAAATGTACTCATTACCTTGCTCATGTAATAATAACTCCTCTGTATGGTATTTTCACAATAAAAAATAATAAAAGAAGAAGCCCTATAAATAAATCATGTTACAGTGCCCAGACATAAGTTACATACTATTCCATTCTGTTAATTAACATTGACGTGGTTAATAATTGATGCCACCAGTTACAGGCTCTTTTTTTTTTTTGTCGGTCATGGGGCTTGAACTCTGGGCTTGGGCACTATCCCTCAGTTCTTCAGCTCAAGGCCAGCGCTCTACCACTTGAGCAACAGCGCCACTTTTGGTTTTCTGGTGGCTTGTTGGAGGTAAGAGTTGGGGGATGGGGAAGATGAAAAGGGATGGGAAGGGGAAACAAAGGAGGAGGCAACAATGCTTGATAAGAAATGTACTCATTACCTTGCTCATGTAATTGTAACTCCTCTGTAAGATATTTTCACACACACACAAAAGAGTCTCACGGAGTTTCCTGCCCGGGCTGGCTTTGAACCACGATCCCCAGATCTCAGCTTCCTGAGGAGCTAGGATTACAGGCCTGAGCCTCCAGCGCCCGGCTTCTTTTTTTTCCTCTATAAAACCTGTAGTAAAATTACACGCAACTCTCTGCAAAAAGAAATCTAGAAGAGATCTTGAGGATGATGTTCCTATAGTGAAAATGTTGACGTTAGGAGGATGTTTTTGGACATTCCTTTGTATTGATCCATGACAATAATGTGAAATAATGCGAGTTTCTTTTGGGGGGGGGGTCTGGAAGTGGGGCCTGAATTCTGGGCCTGGGCGCTGTCTCTCAGCCCTTCAGCTCAAGGCAAGCGCTCTACCACTTGAGCTACAGCGCCACTTCTGGCTTTTTTCTTTTTGCTTATGTGGTGCTGAGGAATCGAACCCAGGGCCTCAGGCATGCAAGGCAAGCGCTCTACCACTGAGCCACCTTCCCAGCCCAATAATGCGAGATTCTAAGATCAAGACCTCACTTAACATGCATAGATTTCGTCTCCTCCATGCAGCCTGTACAAAGATGAGCATTTCTAGTAGAAATAAGAATAATGGCTTTAGTAGCCACATTCCTGACTATAGCAAAAATGTATTCAAAAACTAAATAGAAATGTTCACAGTAACTTGTCCCTGAGAGATTGTTCGTTTTGCTATTATTTACACTGTACTTATAAAGCACTATGCTCTAAAAGCAAAGTAAATTTAATAATTAAAATACACATCAAATACTATTATTTAATATGTCTGTTGCAGACATTCTGCACCTCTTGTTGGTTCGTCAAATACTTAAGATAAAAGTTTCTTGATTCTTCCTGAACTATACAATTTATCCTAGAATTATTTCCAATAGCATAGATTTAATAACAGCTAAATCTTCTTATGCATTGGTAATTGGCAAGCTCTGGTGTGAACACGAGCTCTGTAACTCTTTTGGCTATAATTACTATGGACATACTAATAATGCCAGTATAGCGGCAAGAAATTCTGTATCAAACATTCTGCTTTGTAACAACATTATGTCAAATGAAACAAAAATAAAAAGAATTCTAGCAGATATAGATAGATAGATAGATAGATAATCACAACTCTCTACACTGTACTTACAGCTATAAAGCACCATATTCCAAAAGCAAACTAAATTAGTATATAAGATATAAATATGTATACATACATATTTATGAATATCTATCTATCTATATGTACACATATATTCTAACAGACATTTGCACATTTGTTAGAATAAGAACAAGAAGAAACTTAAATAAGAGAATCATAATCCAGACCAGCATTGTTAGATCATACCTCAAAAATAGCCAGGGCATGAAGGGATGGAAGTGGGGCTCAGAATAACAGAATGTACACATTGTCAAAGCAAAAAAGGGAGAGAAGTAGTGGCACAAGATGTAAAATGCCTGACTTGCATGCATGAATCTGAGTTCAAACCCATTAATGTAGGAAAAAGAAAAGGAAAGGAAAAAATATCTATACAAGCATGTGGTGAAAGGTTTGAAGAAGTCCAAATGTCAAGTCCTTTTAGATAGGTATAAATTTTAATTTAATGTTTTTCTCATTGCTTTCTTAAAGCAGATTAGACCTACATTCATCATAGAATCTATAAAAAATCCATTAGTTGTGTTTGTCCCTTTCATGACTCTAAATTTCTAGATGTTTAGATTAAAGAACATCTAAGCCTCATCATTGATGCTCAGACAAGGCATAGACAACCTGACTACATTAGTTGTTTTGTTAACACTGAATCATAAATGGATAAATGTGTCTATTAGGCTAAGTTGTGTTTATATTACATAGATTTCAACGTGACTGAAGTCTCTTTAGAGAGAACTACCAACAGCATAAAATTACTCCTAAGTTTTAACATGTCTTTCCACAAAATAAAGTAAGTTATGACAATTGCAAAGGTATTTTCTGAAATGGTATTTGCTCTCCTAAATGATAGGCAAAGATTGCTGCTGGCTCAAATAACTCAAACACAAAGGCATAATGAAAAAATG